CCGAGAGTTCGCCCCTGCGCAGGTAAAACTTTGAAACTTTGGCCAATAAAACACCTCTGACTACCCAGCAGTCTCCGACCCTTCTTGCTCGCAAGGACGGGATGTAACATTTGGAGGCCCCAGCAAGATGTAAGATCTAAGTTCGGAGACTGGGTAAACTGCTTGAGCAAACGTAAATAACGAGGAACCTCTTCTGCATTTGGTTTTGGAAGTCTAGACTGTTTGACTCTGAGGTGGTAGGCAAGACGTTGCCGGCAGTCCACCCAGGGGCTCCCAAAGGAGGGGACGCCCTCGGGAGTAGTGACTAGGTCACTTTTGGTTTGGATGCGTGAGAACCGCGGTTTGCCTGTGTGAGAGGAGAAACTGTGTCTGTGCCGGCGTCAGTGTCTGTGCAGTCTTTGTTATGGCTGTGTCAGTGTCTGTGTGTTTCTATGTCTAGTTTGTGATTTTTAAAACTATGACTAGTTTCTGAGCTTCCAAAGGTCTTACAGGCGGAGGGATTGCGCTGCAGGACGGCATGAGCCATGCAATGAAATGGCGCTGGACCAGCCCTCCACACCCCCACCCAATAGGCAAAAGTTTTACAGGCATCAAAGAGGGGTCCAGCCGACCAACCGACCAGCGCCGGCCGCGAGCGAGCCCGGCACGTCCCAGGATTGCCTCAGCTGCAGCGGGCCTCTCCACCACCGATGGCAGCATGCCAGGCCCAGGCGGGCTTCGCCCCATCCCCCGGCCCTTGTCTCTGCCTTGCTGCGTACTGGGCCCAACGTTGGAGCGCCGTGCTCGTGCTGGGCTGACTACTGGCCTCTCCGGTAGGGGCGGGCGGGGTTTGCCTCCTCTCCCCAGCCCGGCCTCCGCCCCCCTGCTGGCCGCCGACACCCCCGCCTGGCAGCCACCCTTTCCCGCCACCGGAGGCCGGAGCCCGTGCGTGTGCCAGCTGGGTCCTCCGGCGCCCGCGCCGAGGAATCTGACTGTTTGATTGAAACAAAGCATCAGGGAGGCCACGCCGGTGTGTTGACACGATGAGAATTCTGTCCCCAGGGCTCTCCCAGTCGGCAATGCTGGGACCCTCGCTCGCTGATTGGAAAAGCGCGCACACAGAGTTGGGGCTGCGGCACCCCCTCCCCTTTCCCCTGATCGGCACCCAGGGGCAGGGCCGTCCCTCCCGGCGACTGTTCTCCCACCCCCAGCCCCGGGGACAGGGTGGGCGGAGGGCAGCTCCCGGGCTACTACCAAAGAGATTTAGAAAACTGACCAGAGCAGTGACGCCCGGCTGGCTGTTTCCTAGCAACAGGTAGAATGTCATCCAGTGGGCGGGGCTGGTAGCATTAAAGCTAATTTTCTAGTAAATTCTCCTGATCCAGATTTCTCCAAGCTGTGTGGAATTCCAACCAACACCCCTGGAGTGGTCACCTAAGAGAGACTTTTTCTACCAACTTAAAGGGACTAAATTAATGCTGCAGGATATTTAACACTTGACCAAGCAGGAGTTTTTGTTGTTTTTTTTCAGCTTCTTCATGCTCAACTGTCTTGCCCTGAGTTCAGATATGATGCATAATTCTTCCCAAAATTGAAATGTAACCAGACCTGTTACTTTTGTCAATCCCATGTGTTTATATCACTTTTTCAACTGACTGAATTTAAGAGTTTGAGTTATAACAACCGGGGAATGCCTTATTTTAATTCCTGTTTGTACTCTATGATATATATACAGAAGTTGTTCCTTGTAATTGCATTTGAGAATAACACATAGCAGATTTCACAGGCCTGTTTTGAGTTAATTTTATAAATAAGAATAGAAAGATATTGCTGACCGCTCTGATTTCAGGAATCGTACCTCTAGAATGCCGGCAGCAGGAGACGGGGCTTGTCCCTGGCGGCAGGCGCCTCCTCCAGTTCCTCTCCCTGCTCCCAGAGCTTGGTCGGAAGTCAGTGGTGGGTGAGACCCCTTTGGGCCTCCCTCCAGTGTGTCTTGGGAAAAATCTAGAGTCACAAAGACTTGCTGATAAGCCTGTGAGGTCTGCTCTGCTAGGAGTGCTTTCACCTCTTTGAAATGTTATCTACTGTTCAATCTTTGCTGCCCAGGAAGAATTAATTAGGTCTGCTATATACTTCAGCCAGACAAAGCAGCATGCCACTGTAAGGCACCAGTGAACCCATTAGTGCAAGGTAGTGCCTCTACACCCACAGGTAAAAGGGGCCTTGGGGGGGCTTTTGGGTTTCCCGAAACTAGATTCCTAAGACCTTTGCAGATTGGCAGAACCAGAGTTAGGGTACTGCTATTTTGGGTAAAATGGATGAGCCACATGAGTGCCCCACCATGGAGGACAGAGCATGCATGGGCATCGCCATCTTGGACAACCCCTCTTGCATGGGTGCCGCCATGTTGGATGACTCCACGTGCATGGGCGCCGCCATCTTGGAACTGGATAAGGCTTCTCTTCTGATTTATGGGCTGTATACTGCTGCTGTGTGGGCACTGCAGCAGTCAGGTTCTCTGTGTAACTGGTTCTGATAGTAATGGCTCTGGTTTTGGAGGTCATGAACTGAGGTCCAAGAGTGACCATCTGATTTATAGGGTATTTGCAAGGTCTAAGCTTCAGAAAGGTGCAAAATGTCCCTGCGAATCTAGGGACTTTTAGTGGAAAGTACCTGTAGTGCTAAGGACTTTTGGCTGCCACATACTGAGTTTAACTACTGAGTTTAAGTATAGTCCTTCCCAGTGTGGGAAAAGGATCAAGATTAAAAGAGAATGATAGTTAAATCTAGATAAGTAGAATGAAAATGAAGAAGTGTATAAAAGGTTGTAGAAGTTTTTTGAATGTTGCTGAAGGGCTGTGAGAAGCTGTGAAAATAGAAGAGGGTGTGTAAAAGGTTGTAGAAGTTTGCAAAAGTTTTGGAAAGGAATTATGTGAAGTTAGTAATGGAAGGTATAAAGCATGGAAATGCAATCTTAGTGGATATCAGAAGGGAAAAAGATTTTCCATTATGCTTTGTATTTTTCTCCCTACCTGAACCCTTCAGAATTTGGCATTCTAAAGGAATGAGTGATGACAAGGTTTCTTTGCATAAAACCAATAAGACCAGTCTTTAATAGTGGTTTTGTTAACCAAGACTTTGGCTGGAATGTCACGCCTGAAGGAGGCATGTATGAGTTCTGGTCGTTACCAGAAAGCCCTGAGGAACTGAGATTGACCTGTGAAGCTAGCGAAAGCCCACAAGAAAAGCCTGGTACTTTAGTTGATTGTGCGGTTCGTGCCAGTATTTCTAGGGAAGGAACGAAGGTTGCTTTCCTGAAAGATGCTAAAAAGGAACCTGTAGGCACAATAGAGGCTCAAGGACTTGAGTGAAACAACTGGTACCGGCAAAGCCAGATGGCAGGTGTGTGGCTCTGCGTTTGTGCCCTGAGGGGCGGACTGAGAAGTCAGTCTGAAGGTTCCCTGTGTCAGTTCCAGCAAAGTAGACTTAGGGATCATCAGTGATCCAGGCTGCTCTTGGTGTGTTTATGCAAACGAACAGTCAAAATCAAAAGCGGGACCCAAAGTAGTCTCTGTAAATAACAATGAGGGTGATCTTAAGGAGAAAAATTATAATTCAAGGAAAATCACAATGCTCAGTATTGGACATCAGAATGGCGCAGCTAATTGTCTTGAAAGTTTGTTTTCATTTGAAAGTTGAAACCAGATTTGTGATGTTACCGAAGATGTACAATTTACCGGTGGAAAGGATCTTGCAATGGAATGTCTTCCCAAAAGACAGTCTCAGAAGCGCAGAGACTGCTTCAAGGATTGTTGTGTGAATTAACCTGTGTATTCTCTGTTTCCATAGAGTGTATGCCTATGACCTGCCTATGCCTGTGAGTGATTGGTTGCAATATAGGCCTCAGAGCTCAGGCCAAGTAAAAAGGATGAGATAATGTTTGGACAACCTGTCCCCATTATCCCCAAACTTTCCAGTGAAGAAATAGCCAGCACAAATCATAACTTCCTTAAGTCCCTCCAGGCTTTGCAACAGGTGCGACGGAGATACGAGTCCTACGCCACCAGCCTCCAGCTGAGACAACCCGATGGCCAGCTCCACCTGAACCGGGACAATGGATCTGGGTCCTTAACCATCGCCGGGGAAGCCTAGAGCCGAGGTGGATTGGCCCCTTCCAGGTCCTGCTCAGCACCCTCTCTGCAGTACGAGTAGCAGAGAAGCCCTACTAGATTCACCTATCACACACGAAGCCAGCCCAGCCCCCGGAGGACCACCAAGGAACATGGCGGATCAGCAAAGATCCCGAACAACTGCTAAGACTGAAATTTCTCAAACAGTAAGACTTTTCCTGCTTGTAGTAACTCTGCCCCATGGAGGATTCCAAGCTAGCCCCAAGGACCTCCACGCAGCCCTTTTTGGACCACGGATTGTGGAGCCACTGTAGCTTACCTAGCCTATTCTAGAACCTCCACAGGAGTCAGCCAGCCCAAATGGGTATGTGTACCAAAGCCTACATGGTTTCCTCCCTCTCTTACTCCCCTTGCTAGGGCCTTTACTAACAGTAATATTAATTTTAACAATAGGACCCATAATATTAAACAAAGTGTTTGCATTCATCAAAGACAGAATAGATGCTGTCAAGCTAATGGTCCTATCCCAACCCTACACCATCTTACCCCAAGAAGATGAGTCAATGGTTTGACCACCTCCCCACAGAAAAGGGGGGAGTGTTATACCCAGCTAGGAAAATTACAACTAGGGCATTACCCAACCCAAATCTGCAGTTCCTGGAACAGGGTAATGAACAAACATCAGGGAACAATTGGGTTTAAAATTCTAGCCAAATAAGGTAACTAACCCGGCCCGCCAGAAAGTGCCCGCCAGCAGCAGCACCCACCAATCAGGGACCCTCGCCGTTTTTAAATAAGCCAATAGCTAACCGCCACCTCTGCTTCTGTGTGCCTTTGCTTGCTTGCTAGAAAATATAAATACCCAGTAGTCTGTAAGCCAGGCGCGACTCTCATTTGCAGCCATTCTGGCATTTGTGTGTCTCCGGAGGCACCCCGAGAGTTCGCCCCTGCGCAGGTAAAACTTTGAAACTTTGGCCAATAAAACACCTCTGACTACCCAGCAGTCTCCGACCCTTCTTTGCTCGCAAAGATGGGTTGTAACAGGTACAAAGCACTCTCACCAGTGGACCATGAGAGGGTACCACAGTACTTTGGATTAACTAGTAATCCTGCCTGACACAGCTGACGATACCAGTGGCCTGAAACATAGACATGTGCTCTTTTCCTGACTTACAGTACCCGGAGTTGGGACAGTGGGAGAAGGGAGCGCTGTGTGGGTGTAGGTGTATACCTCAAAGGACTTTGATATTTTAGTGGAGGCATTAGGCCTGAATAGCATTAAATAAACATTTAGTTTCCTTTTCACAAATCTCTGGCATTGAGAGATGTCTTTCCAATTGGCGGCAGACAGAAGAGCCCAGTAGATATTAGTATTCTGTCCTTGGGAGGGGCCCCTGTTCTCTAGCAGTTTTTGGCATCCCTGGGTGGGCCAAATATTGCCCCCCCCCCCGGACCTCTTGTTCTGTAACAGCAACTGGAAATCATCATTCGTAAATGAGCATATGCAGCCCCGTGAGGGGACTGTTTTGCCCAGCGGTCAAAGTTCTGCCATGCTCTAGTTTCATTTTCCTCTTTGGCTTGAATATATTCTGCTTAGGCCTTCCATAGTCAGTGTTCTTGCAAGAACACGTTGTTCTCGATTACCTGTGTGTCTTTTGTATGGGTGGTAGGCAAACGATGCATTACTGCTGGTTTACATTATGAGCCCTTGCTATGTCCCATACATTGTTGACAGTGTTTGACATCTATTATCTCACTTCATCCCTGCACTGAGCCCATGAGGTTCGTCCTAGTATCCCCATATCATAAAGTAGGGCATAGAAGCACAGAGAAGTTGAGTAACCTCCCCAAAAGCATTTAGCTGGTATTTGGCAGAGTGCAGATTTCATCCCAGAATTGGGCCCTATCCTAGCCTGCTTCTGCTCTGACCTGGACACCCTGCTGAAGACATAATGTACTCAAGATCACATACTGTGCTCAAGGGGTGGAGTCTCCTTTGAAGCCGGTGAATGATCTTAGTGTCAATCCTGAAGAAGAGACAAAGGTTTAGGCAGGAAAATGGGACTAGGAAGGCTGGTCTTAGGTTGGAGGGAGGAATTTCTGTCTCCACACTTCATCTTTTTCTCTTAGGACTAGCCACAGTCAGCCCCTTCCTGTGGACACAAGGCCATGAAGACTGAGAGGAAGTAACACCTTGAATCTCGGATTGAAGAGTTTTAAGTTACTTTGTGAATTTTTTGTTAATCTTTTACAAAGGCTTGTTTAAATATCTTTGTTTCATTGCACTTGTGTTCAGAGGAGCAACCACGGTTTATATGAAACCAGAGAGAATGATATACACTTACTGTGAGGATAATGTTGTTAGCATAGAGAACCAGATATTAATAAAGGAAGAGAACAAAGGAAATCAGGTATTATTAAGCATAATCAACTAGGGAGCATAAATCTGGTTGTTTCCCTAGGAAGTTACAGGTCCCCAGATCACTGAGGGGAGGGACAGAACAATAAAGGGGGAGGTAAGGAGAAGTACAATAGGAGCCAAAATGGCGACCACTGGCGACCAGTCCAGCCTGGAGAAGAGACAAGATCGGATAAGAGACACAACCTTGGAGGATCCGTGGGGTGAATTGTTTGGGGGGGGGGGTGGGCCTATCAGAAGCCCACAAAAGCTTGGGAAGTTGATTGATTAGTTTGAAAAGTGTACCAGGTCCTTTCCCAGTGTGAGATAATATAATCAGCTTAACAGAGAAAAAGCCTTTTTTCTCTCACCAGGGAAGGGGTACCTACCCTGTTCATTTCTGCATTCTCTCTCCACAGCAGCCATGTGGGACCAGCAGCCACCTGTGGTCCTGGAGGCCTGTGAGCTCTGACTGTGGGCCCCAGCTGAGGTGCAGCCTGTAAAACAAGATAAGCTGGCTGGGTGGTGCAAAAGGATGGACTGGCATGGCACGAAACGTCTGGACACTGGCCTTATTTCTGGGCCTGCTGAAGGTGAGATCGAACTTTTTCATGGTAGGACCGAGATAGGACACTGCAAACTCGGTGGAATTCCTTTGATTTTGTGTCTGGTGCCACCAATAAATCTTATCACCAGATCTCCTCCTTTGTGGGTCTTCTGGAATTCTTTCCTCACAACACCACAAGGACCTCACTTTCACCAGCCACATCACGACAATAACAAGTAAAATATCCAAAGGTGGAATGTGACTTTCCATAGACAAGTTGAATTTACAGATCAGAAATTTCTCCCATGAAGAACTCATGTCAATCGCTTGCATTGCATAACTTTCATTTCATTGTGTTAGGGAATCCCCTTAAAATTCTGCAAAGCTCTAAGATGTAAAAGTCATGATGTAGTTCTCATTTTGGGGAATGTCTCAATCTGCTATAGAAACAAATATATATATGAATATATTCATATATAAGTGTTTACATACTAATATGATATATACACAGTATATGTATCAGTCATCATGAAATGGGATAAATTTCATAACATCAGCATAAACAAAGTATGTCCATGCGGTTTCTATCAGTTGTGCTTGAGTAGGGGTATCTTTTGTATTAAAAAAAAAACCCCTGAAGTTTTTTGAGGACATATTGGAGAGGGAGATGTACAGGATGTTCTAGTGGAGTCAAGGACAGGCTGTTGCGAAGCTGCACAGATGAGGAAGGGGATGAATGTAGCGCTGGAGCTGGTGCCAAGCCTGTGTGGGGAAGTCAGGGAAGACGAGATCTGTTGGTCACCCATTTGGAAACCTGAAGACCAATTCCCATGAGAGCCTGAGATAAAATCTAGTTGGAATGCCTTCGTGAGAGAATGAACAGTGAGAAAGTAGAGACTGCAAGTATGGAATCTTTTCCTTGAATTTTTGCTCTGAGGAAGAGCAGAGGACAGTTGGAAGAGGTTTTACTGCATTTTAAAACTGTTTCTATTATATTTGTCAGCTGACTAAACTAACCAAGAGAGAAAACTTGATGATACAGGAGGTAATCGAGTTACTGTAGGAGCACAATCCTTGAGCTTGCAGTGATTGGATACAGTGCACAAATGGAGGAATTGATGTTGTACTGGAACATAGATGTTTACTCTAAAGAATAGGAGAATTTACAAATGTGCAAAAGTCTCAAGTGCCGGGAAGCAAAAACTGAATGGATTGAGAAATGGTCTGGAGAATGGCAGTTTAGCATCTTATTTTATACATTACAATCATAGGAGGTGACAGAAGGAAGTTACATGAAATCTGTTGGCGATAGATTAGGGAGGCAGGAGAAAGCAAAGTGGGAAAAACTTTGGGATTGGATAAAAGGTAAAATGGTAAACACACACTTCTTTTACATAGGTGGTTAAAGGATAGTTAACAGTCAAAAATTAACATAATAACAATGAGGAGATTTGTGGTCTCAGCTCTGGTGCAGTGGTTGTGCCCAAGAGACTTGGGGTGGGGATGGGATGGAAGTTACCTTGACATTGCAAAAGTATGTTATCATAGATGCAAAAAGACAACAGACAGGTTTAGTTCGGGTAAAGGCTGACCTTTGTTAGGGAAAAATGCAAACCTAGGACATGACTTCCTGCCATGAATTACTTTTAGTTAATAAGTTTTAATTTCAGAGCACCCTTTGTGGTCACTTTAGGTCACTGAGTCTGTGAGGCTGCCTCACAGTCCTCCCCTGAGCCTGTCAGGTTAATATGGGGCCTCTTCTTCCGCACAGCCAATCAGCAAACTCATGAAGTCATGGAGCCCATGACTCCAGCTTTTTTAACCATCGTGATTAATGATTTTTCCCCTATGTAGTACATCTCCTAGAAGCCACTGAGAAGCCAGGTCTTTGGACACTAACTGTTTTATCTGGGACTCCAGACTTGACACCGACAGGAAAAAGCCAGCACCAATTGCTATCATGGCTCCATTTGCCAAGCAGGCCCATGACCTTATTAAGCATGACTGCCATTTTACTCTTCTGAGCTAATGTTCCCAATACTGAAAAATACTGGAAAGCAAACACAAGGTAAAAAAAAATGCTGCCCACAGCCACAGGTAAAAGGTAACATTAGAGCCAACTGCAGCTTATGCAAAACCAACCAAAACCTCCTGTGTTGCAAAGCCCCTAACAGCCTGGCAGCCAGACTACAGCACTCCACTTCCACCCGTTATAAGACCATAAAAGCGCTAAGTCCCAAACTTTTGTCACTGGTGCGTTTCTCTGCATCTAGCCCCTTTCCTCTCTTGTAAAGTGAATAAAACTTGGCTCTCTGCATGTTCCTCTTTGTGAATTCTTTCACAGCCTGCATCAATAGCCACCCCAACTAGCCCTATTTTCTCAAATAACAAACCCTTAACTTTTTTGGCTGCAAACTCCTGTTTGCATTTGATTGGGCTTTGATTTGTGCAGGTAACAGGGGTTGTACAAAATGGAAGGTTTTTATAGCAAGAATGGCAGGAGAGTATTAGCAAAAGAAAAGACAGAATTATTTTTAGATCAGAACATCTTCTTTCACAGAGAAGGGAACTGCAAGCACTCCATCATGAGAACTGCAAGCACTCCATCATGAAAACTGCCTCTTCCTAAAGGGTATTGAGAAGGCTCTTGTGACAGAGTACTTTACCAGCGCTTGACCAGAAAATGCTGGACTGGATGGTTAAGATTATGTTTCTGGGAGAGTTCAAACTGGAATTAGATGAAATATTAAATCTAGGTTTGGTATTCTGGGCTTTTAGCATAAGTGATACATTTTGGGCCTATGGTTTTCTTTTTAACAAAACTCAATTTTACAAGTACTTTTTAGCCTTTGGTTATGGCATCCTCCTAATGTCCCATGGATTAAAGCAAGTCATATGGCCAAACACAAAGTCAAGGGACAAGAAAGTTCAGTCTACCCATGCGTGGGTGAAAAGATGGAGTGGAAAGATGGAGTGAATATTTATTCATGATGACTGAATCTACCATGTTGACAAACTAGTAAGACCTATGAATGACATATGAATATCAAAATATGTAATGATTAATATATAAAAATCAACTAACCCTGAGAATCTCAATTAGTTGCTTTTAACTAAAGCACAATTTCCTCAGTTCTAAACATGAACTCTTAAAGAAAATATGTAAGCATTAAAATCATATTTCAATGTAATGCTGAATATAATAAATATTTCTATGTGATTTAGATTTTTTGCTTTCTCATTTTCTTTTGTAGTTTTTTAAATTTTATGACATATAAATGGTTGTACCCATTTCAAAAATGAAATGTTACCAAAAATAAATTTAACTAACTTATTCAAATGTTCAACCAAAGTATTAAAATATCTTGCTCTTAGACTTCACTGATATTCGATTGATAAAAATAAGCAAGTCTATTTTATTCATAATTAATATTTCTAAAGTTAAACCATATCTTGTCAAATTTATAACAGGGCATATGTTTAAAATATGCAGCTATAAACATGCTAATATAACCATTTCGTAGGGGTCATTGACTAATAAATACATCCCAGAAGAAAGCAAAGACATTTCAAAAGATGAAAGAGTTGCAAATTTCTGTTTGAAAATTTTAAGCAAATTACTTTAAGATATGCCTGACTGTTATAAAATGCATTAAGAGTTCAGCTGTATAAATTACTTAATATACTCTGCAAAGTAATCAAAAGAATCCCTTGGGCTAATACAAGAAAGTTATCAATATATACTTATGTATTTCATTTATATTTATCAAATATTTGATAATATTATCATCACATACTGTCATTTTTCTGTGATGGTGCTTTTGTGTTAATATGAATGATGTCTTTTAACTCTGAGATAACAGATAAGAGAGAGAATTAGAGAAAGAAAAGGGTTATATACAACCATAAATCCAGCAGGCGATATTTTGCTAGTAAATCCTCTCTTACTTACACTTCTATAGCCCATGACTAAATGGATTTCTCACTTTTTGTCTGGACAACATGAAAATAGGTTGGGTACCAAACTCTTCCTGTTAGAACTCCATGAAGGTCAGTAAATTGTAGTATGCATCTGTTTGTAACAGTCTTATAGTCTATAACAGGCTCAGATCATCTGTATACTCCCTGGAGGACAAAAATAAGAATCCACTGAATATGCTCAGCCATTAAACTTGGGGCTTCATCTAGCACATTTGTGCCCTTCTTGAAAAGTGTCCTTAACAGAGTCACAGAGCTTTCCTGGAAGCTGCAATTAGGAGGGTATCTTACTTCTCTTGCTAAAAATATATGCTCTGAAACTGTCCTGCAGCAGCCTGAGACAGGAGGGTAATAGGGGGTGGGAACAAACAGACTGGGTATTTTTTCAAAATGCCACTAGCCCTTATTTTCTGACCTCAAGCCCTGGAACTTGCCAGAACCAATACTAAAATTCTGTTATATCCTCCAGGGAACCTCTAGAAATTGCCCAGACCTGCCATTGTGTTTAGATTACTTTTCAAGTCACTGAATTTGGAATTGCCAATAGTTACACTGTGCCCTCAATTGATGTGAAAATATTAAGATTATTGTGTTAATTAAAATATCCTTGGACACCTACACTTTCCAAAGGGTGGGCTAAGGAAAGTTCCGTGTTCTAGTGAACAGGTTTGTGATCTCGAGTGACCCAAGGTTACCTAGGTTCCATTCACAGAAACCTGGGGGCTTCCATCTTCTCCTCACCCTGAACCACTACCTTCTAAAGTTGTCGTTAAGCAGAGCAAAAAATACCACCACAAATTATGCCTCTTTGGCATATTGTTCATTTTGAGCTAGTTATTTTTAAGAAACAGCAGACACAGCAGAAGCTCTGAAAGCTGAGAAGTTACCCTTTTGTAAGAGACATTTACATTTATAAAGAAAATATTCATTTGCAAGGGTGTCTCCCTCTCTATACCAGAAAGAGGATGACTCTAAATCTCTAGAAACTCTAAGCTTTGGAAAAGGCAAGGCTTTCAATATGCACAATAAACTTATCCTTGTTTGCTGTGCTTTTCCTGGTAACCTCCC